ACCCCTGGGGACTAACTCTGTATATCATTCAAACCATCTTAGCATGACAAACCAGAATATATATGGTTTAGGGGTGGGGATCTTGACCACTTACAAGGTATTAGAACTTTTCTAAATGGCAGGGGGTGGGGATGACCCCTGGGGACTAACCCTGTATTTCATTTAATGGGTTTTATCATTTAGAACATTTTCAATTAAAAAGATTGTGTCTATCACAAACGGTTTTCAATTTATAATCATTTGAAAATTTAAAAAAATAAAATCCCATAGGGTTCTATAGTAAAACCCTCTTTTCTTTTTGCCCCTCAAAGTACCCCTTAATAAACCCCATTGCACAAACAAAACCCTGATTGCACCACTAGACATGTTAGTCTAACATATTGTGAAACCCTAAGTTAATCTGACAAGCGGTTTTGGGAGAACGGGTGCGGACAAGTTCAAATTTAAAAGCGGCGGAAGAAGAAGAAGAAGAAGAAATAAGAACTGAGCAAAAACAATAAGAAGAATAATAAGAACTGAGCAAAAACAATAAGAAGAATAATAAGAACTGAGCAAAAACAATAAGACTTAATTAATAAAGACTGGATTCCTTTAAACCGGAAAAATTCAGATTCATACAATGAACATGATAATGATAATGACTTTCTAATCCAGTCAGCAGAAAATAACAATATTATAAATTCTATCAATAAAACACATTTGGTTGATTATTATTTTTATTGTACTGAGTAGCTTCCACATAACTTAGCATTATTTCAGGACTAAACGCACAGTGCTATCTGCTAAACAGTAGCAACACTTGCGTGATCAGTGAAATTTCTGTTGGTAAATCTTGGAAAAAGTCATTGTACTTAATACCGAATTATTGTCATTTACATAGACTCTTGATTTCATGTATCTAAACTGACCTTCCTTATATTAAGGTATATAGGAAATTATTTTCTGAGGTCAGTGCCTGTGTAATAAAGTCCTAATATCACACACGTATAACTATTTTGTTAAGGTTTTTATCATAAAAAGTGGTAAATTTAGATTATGTTAGTATTGTCGACTATCCCTTAATTGTGTTATCATAAACTGCAATTGGAATAACATTGAAAAAAGGTAAGGTTTATTTCCCCTGTACATGATTTGTTTCATTCGACGAATCAAAATCCAAATTTTGTTTACTACCTTCTTCAATTTGAGTAAAACAGTAAATGAAACATAGCTATACCTACTCAGGATTTAATTGTGTGTTTTAGTTTTACTACATACAGTTCAGATAGACAAATAGAATTTTTTTTCGCACGTAAAAAACTTTTTGAACCCAATCATTTTGTCCACACTGTATGGAGTCCTTTTTCGAATTGTATCAACTAAACTCCACATGAGGATTCCAAAAGGATGATTAAGGGGATACAACTCGAAAAAAGAATCAATATCTATCTGTCTTTGATTTATTCTTTAGTGGAAAGAAACATCACCGAATTTCCCCTCGCCAACTCTTGATCTACCAATTATGAGTCTCTACATTTAATAGTTCCCCTGACTGCTGGTAATTCAATGCACTTGTTTTTGTTTTATTTTATCAAATAAATTTTACAATTTCAAGGTGTTGCCTAACATGCATACTTAATATATTTTAAACGTTCAGGGTATTTTCTTACATACTTAATATATCTTACAATTTCAGATTATTTTTCTAACATACTTAATAGATTTAAAAAGTTTAGGGTATTTTCTAACATAACTAATATATTTTACAATTTCATGGTAATCTATAATATGCTTAATATAATTACAATTTCAGGGTATTTTATAACATACTTAATATATTGGAAAACCAGGTTTAATACATCATTTTCTACATAAGAAAATGCCTGCACCAAGTCAGGAATATGACAGTTGTTATCCATTCGTTTGATGTGTTTGAGCTTTTCATTTTGCCATTTGATTAGGGACTTTCCGTTTTGAATTTTTCCTCGGAGTTCAGTATTTTTGTTATTTTACTTTTTATCATTATTTCAGGGTACTTTCTAACGTACTTAGGATGACAGAACACTTCGGTACCCATATGGATGCCCCAAGTCATTTTAACAAGGTCGGATGGAATATGCATCAAATACCAATTAATAAAATGGTAGGTCCAGGGGTCATTGTCAATGTCAAGGAAAAAGCGCAAAATAATCCGGACTATCGGGTATCAATAAATGATATGAAAGAATGGGAAGAAAAATATGGAAAAATGCCTGACGGGGCAATGGTAATAATGAATTCGGGAAGGGATGCAAAATACCCTAGCAAAAACAGTGTTTATGGTACGAAGAATATATCAGGTCTTAAGTCTTTTCATTACCCAGGTTGGCACGAGGATACAATATCTTGGATTATAGCTAATAGACACATGCTTTTCATCGGAACAGATACGCCGTCATTTGATTATGGACAATCCTCAACATATCCAGTACATATTTCAACTTCACGAGAAAATATATGTGGTTTGGAGAACGTTGCCAATTTGGATAGAATTCCACCTAGCGGATCAATTATCTCAGCTGCAGGAATGAAATCGGTGGAAGGAAGTGGAGGGCTTCTCAGACTTTATGCTATGGTTCCACGTTTTGGTGTTAACAATAGTTCAGTTACAAACGGAATATCTCATTTGTTTCTTATTGTTATTTGTATGACTCTTTTTATCAAACTCCAACACTTAATGTATTTTTAAATGTCTGTATCTGTGCTCTAAAAACGACAAGCATATCGTTTTTGATAGGTAAAAAACAAAAAAAGAAATATTTCAATATACTTCAACTTTTGAAGGATTTTTAGACTCTATTTTATACTATATTTGAAACAGTACGGAATCAGTAGAGTAGAATATGGGATGTTCGAATAAAGATTTAGGAGAATACAATAACAATGTACATTTGTTGTTAAAAAAGAGGACATTACACCAAGGGCAGGTGGATAAAAGGTCCGCTAATGTAGGACCTCAGGTAATAGATGTCCTCAGGTAACCGGGGGAATTTGTCATCGATTAATTCGCATGAAAATATAGTTCCCTCTTATGGTCACCTCTATATGACAGAAAATGGTCAGGTTACCTCATGTGACCACTAAAATGCTGTCAGCTTTACAAAACACTAATATTTGCAGGTTAACTCAGGTCACCACTATTTTACTGTACATGGTCAGGTTACCTCAGGTCACCACTACAATACTGTACGTGGTCATGTGACAACAAGTCAGCTTTACAAAACACTCATATTTTCAGGTTACCTCAGGTCACCACTGTATATCTGTACTCAAAAAATTATCGCCAACGCTATATTTGATAATACTGACCTAAATTTCATTGCAATGCTATTCAATGCAAACTTCTAGATAGAATAAAATACTTTCAAATTGAACATCTCTAACAAGATGAAAAGATAATTAAAACTATATGTTACTGAATACATTTGATAAAGTTTGCCGCCTTTCTTTTCACATTGATTGTTTGGATATATTGATTGTAAAATTTTGATGGCTCCTGAAATGCAGATACTTTCAGTGTTCAAGTGGATGATTAGTAACAAGACGATTATTTTTCCGTATTTTTGTAATATCGAAATGAAAAAAAAAACCAATTCTTTACATCACAAGAAGTAAACAATTTAATTTAGTACAGTTCGTTATTATCTTTTCTTCGGTGTTTAATTTCATGCATCCATTTGAACTACTTACACCATCTGTTTTGTATATACATATAAACACAGCTCTCTACAATGCGACAGTTGCAACTTAATGATTAAATAAAGACCTTGATGATTACATAACGACCTTGATGATTACATAACGACCTTGATGATTATCATCAAGAAGAAGAAGAGGGCGTTTCGCTAGTATTTTGACGAATCGAAAAATTCCAACGTAGGTCTTCCATTGTCTTCCAAGCACGTACTATAACTAGATACCGGATTACTCGTTAAAAGGTGTCGCCATAGAATCCTAAAGGTATATATACGTACGGCAGAACTAAGTTCTCGTTATAAAAAATCATATATATGATAGTGCTGTCGTCTTGCCTAAATTTATGTCTATGTAGAGATAGACTAAGTCAACGCGATAGGAATAATGAGCATTTTAGATTAAATAGTCTTCACCATTACATAGTGTATAGTTGAAATCCGAACACAAATGTTGCTAAAAAACATGTACATATTCTAACCTATATCAACATGAATGACCAATTTAATAGTAAACATGTTAAGAAAATTAATTGAACATCTGATAAAAGATAGTAATAATATTTAGACCGCACTATTGGTCGAACATTTTTTTTAATTAAAGGCCTGGTTCGATTACACTGTACGATTTTCCACCCTTTTATCCATCGGATTTGATATTGTCACCCAGGTAAAACGTACAGCGCGCTGTTAAGTCTCCGATTCCTGCATGTATATTTTATGCCTGATTGACTTTGGCTGAAATAGGGGGAAACACAACGCAGAGTGACTTAGAGTCACATATCAATGCTGTATAACACGTAAACAAGCAAACATAAATCTAAACGTTAATTAAACACTTCATTCTTTTCTTTTACTTTTTCCGTCTTTCCTTCATTTTTCTTCTTTCTATTTTTACATTAATTATCACAGGAAGCAAAACATATTATACAAACTGATTTGTAGTTTTCTATTTCCCTGAGAAGATAAATAAACCTCCTGAACATGAAGAAATTAATACATATCTGTATAGAAATCTAAACAAAATTAACAAAATGAAGCCAGATGGAATATATCTATAAGAACCTTGACCCCAGAACTTTTCTCTTCGCACTTGTCATATGTATTAAAACAAAACGTTTCACTTCGCACTTATCATAATTTATGAATATAGAAATCTTAACAAAAATAATTAACAAAATGGAGCCAGAGTGAATATGTCTATAAGAACCTTCACCCCAGAACTTTTCACTTCGCACTTATCATATGTATAATTATAACGATGAAATGAAACATGATAGGAACACTGAGAACAGATAACCATCCATAAAAAAAAAGCTTAGTTAGCATATTTCTGCAATTATTCGAAGACAGTGCATATCTTTTTGTATGAGTTAGATGAACCCAGCTGGTTTCGTTTATGTACTGTCTTATTTTCAGATATACAGGGAACATCTTTTCTCAGAAAAATGGACATATGTAAAGTAGTTTTTGTGATATGTTTCGCGACCAGTATACATTGTATTCCGTTATTTCCGTACGATTTGGTCGATTTGACCAGAAATCTGGGACCAGATTCAATATACTATCCAACATTAGCAGGATATGAAAAAATTATTGAACTTCAAGGAAGTAAACAATTCGGCCATTGGTATGTATAATCTAAATCAAATATATCAAAACCATTTAATCATATAGATCGTTATATGTGTGTATATACTAACTTTGTTATAAATTCTACCAATAAAACACATTCGGTTGATTATTATTTTTATTGTACTAAGTAGCTTCCACATAACTTAGCATTATTTCAGGACTAAACGCACAGTGCTATCTGCTAAACAGTAGCAACACTTGCGTGATCAGTGAAATTCTTTTGGTAAATCTTGGAAAAAGTCGTTGTACTTAATACCGAATAATTGTCATTTTCATAGACTCCTGATTTCATGTATCTAAACTGACCTTCCTTATATTAAGGTATATAGGAAATTATTTTCTGAGATCAGTGCCTGTGTAATAAAGTCCTAATATCACACACGTATAACTGTTTTGTTAAGGTTTTTATTATAAAAAGTGGTAAATTTAGATTATGTTAGTATTGTCGACTATCCCTTAATTGTGTTATCATAAACTGCAATTGAAATAACATTGAAAAGAATTAAGGTTTATTTCTCCTGTACATGATTTGTTTCATTCGACGGATCAAAATCCAAATTTTGTTAACCACCTTCTTTAATTTGGGTAAAACAGTAAATGAAACTTAGCTGTACCTACTCAGGTTTTAATTGTGTGTTTTAGTTTTACTACATACAGTTCAGATAGAAAAATAGGACTGCTTTCAATTCAATGCACTTGTTTTTGTTTTATTTTATTAAATACAATTTACAATTTCAAGGTGTTGTCTATCATGCATACTTAATATATTTTAGCACATACTTACAACTTCTCGTCCAATCAAATTGCTTATATTTGCCTTCTTATTTTCATAGTACATACTTTTCCCGTGTACTAAGTAACTACGCATGAATAACCACAAGGGTAAGATTTCATTGTATCGTAATCAAGATATTTAAAACAAAAATTGCCACTGGCTATTTTGAAATAAAATGCTGTGTTCCAAATTAAATTAAATAGTTTGTAATTAGTTTTCACGTTGATTTTTAAATATCCTGCTATTAAAATCTTTGGATCTAAAAAAATGTTTTTGACAATTGCAAATTTCTTTCATTTAAATAAAGGGTAATACATATGGTTCTTTATACCTTGATTAGAGTACAACGATATCTTAAAATTATGATAATGTATCATCCATGTAATTACTTTGTACACAAAAAAAGTGTGTACTATGAAACCTTGTGAAGGGAAATTAAAGCAACTTGGTGATATTTTTTTAAACTTTCTTAAGGAAGGTGATCTATTTCGTCATGAATTGATAGATTTATTGATTATTGGTTGCTTAATGTCCAGTGACAAATATTTCATGCATGTTCAGGACGATGTCATGAATTGAAAAACTGTGAGTATGTCTGAAGATAATGTGCCACCTATATATATATATATATATTAACATATTCTGATAAATCTTTTAGTTTTTACTTTGAAATAATAAAAAAAAAAAAAAACACAAGACCTATAATCTCTGATCTATTGGTAGTTGCTTTATAATGCCTATCTGCTAGACTATATCTATGGGGACAAACTATCTATATGTTTCAAATTTATTATAGCTATAGTTTTACTGTGAAATTAAAAAACGTTTTCAAAACATGTAAACGGCTTCCACTGCAATTTAATTATTGCCTGCTTTTGGTCAATTTATTTGGTCATCTTACCATGTAAGAAGAACATGTATAGTAAAACACCGCTTTATATCAATATACATACTTACACCAGCAGCTACCATCTTTTCATTCTGGAGTCAAGGGCCTTTTGAAATCACATATTTGACAATGATACTAGTGAGTAGATTTACAAAACTTTGTTAATGAGCTCCGTTTTACAAACACTTGTGATACAAGTAGTCAGCCAAAGTAAACTATCAATAGATCAATTAAAAGATTACTCGAGTTGTAAATATGTGCTAAATTGGATAATCTATGAAAAGGTATATACTATGAAATAAAGAGCTCGGGGCAAGCCCCTCGCTCTAAATTTCATAGTATATACTTTTCCACAGACTAACCTAGACTTAAAATTTCATACTTAATAGATTTTAAAAGTTCAGGGTATTTTCTAACATAATTGATATATTTTACAATTTCAGGGTATTTTATAACATACTTGATATATTGGAATTTTATGCGACTATCATACAAGTGAGAGGTTAAGCTAGCTATAAAACCAGGTTCAATCCACCATTTTCTACATAAGAAAATGCCTGTACCAAGTTGGGAATATGACAGTTTTTATCCATTCGTTTGATGTGTTTGAGCTTTTGATTTTGCCATTTGATTAGGGACTTTCCGTTTTGAATTTTTCTCGGAGTTCAGTATGTTTGTTATTTTACTTTTTATCATTATTTCAGGGTATTTTCTAACGTACTTAGGATGACAGAACACGTCGGTACCCATATGGATGCCCCGAGTCATTTTAACAAAGTCGGATGGAATATGCATCAAATACCAATTAATAAAATGGTAGGTCCAGGGGTCATTGTCAATGTCAAGGAAAAAGCGCAAAATAATCCGGACTATCGGGTATCAATAAATGATATGAAAGAATGGGAAGAAAAATATGGAAAAATGCCTGACGGGGCAATGGTAATAATGAATTCGGGATGGGATGCAAAATACCCTAACAAAAACAGTGTTTTTGGCACGAAGAATATATCAGATCTTAGGTCTTTTCATTACCCAGGTTGGCACGAGGATACAATATCTTGGATTATAGCTAATAGACACATGCTTTTCATCGGAACAGATACGCCGTCATTTGATTATGGACAGTCCTCAACATTTCCAGTACATATTTCAACTTCACGAGAAAATATATGTGGTTTGGAGAACGTTGCCAATTTGGATAGAATTCCATCTAGCGGATCAATTATCTCAGCTGCAGGAATGAAATCGGTGGAAGGAAGTGGAGGGCCTCTCAGACTTTATGCTATGGTTCCAAGTTCTGGTGTTAACAATAGTTCAGTTCCAAACGGAACATCTCATTTGTTTCTTATTGTTATTTGTCTGACTCTATTTATCAACTCCAACACTTAATTTATTTTTAAATGTCTGTATCTGTGCTCAAAAAACGACAAGCATATCGTTTTTAATAGGTAAAAAGCAAAGAAAGAAATATTTCAATATACTTCAACTTTTGAAGGATTTTTAGACTTTATTTTATACTATATTTGAAACAGTACGGAATCAGTATAGTAGAATAGAATCTGGGATGTTCGAATAAAGATTTAGGAGAATAAAATAACAATGTACATTTGTTGTTAAAAAAGATGACACCAAAGAAGCAATTTAAAAAGCATAAGTCGAAGAACTACAGAACACCATAGTCAAAATGAAAATCGCCGAAAAGATAAACAGCAGTCCGTATATCACTAAACAGAAAACCAATGGTTGAGCAACACAAGCCCCTCACCACTAACCGGGGATGAACTCTGGTGCTCTTGCTTCACTGGTGACGTCCGACGTGTTCAATTCAATTCAAAGTTTTATTCAAAGTCGATGTTCACGTCTGGCGTATTGAATTTTAAGCCTAGTACCTTCTGCTTGCTATTATTCGTGTGTTTCTTTGTCCTATATGTTCTCCCATTTATTTGTATTGTGGTCCTGTCATGTGATGTTGTCGTTTTGGTGTTGTGTTGATTTTGCCATAAAAGCGGGAGGTTTGGCATGCCACAAAACCAGGTTCAAACCACCATTTTTTTCTTAAAATGTCCTGTACCAAGTCAGAAAATGGCCATTGTTATATTATAGTTCGTTTCTGTGTGTGTTACATTTTAATGTTGTGGTTTTGTTGTGTCGTTGTTCTCCTCTTATATTTGATGCGTTTCCCTAAGTTTTAGTTTGTAACCCGGATTTGTTTTTATCTCTATCGATTTATGAGTTTCGAACAGCGGTATACTACTGTTGCCTTTATTTATTCAAGAAACTATATGAACACAGGCTCTAGTGAGCATTTCGAATCGATTGAATAACAAAATATGCATGCCAAATAGGATATATCTTAAAACATAGCATAAGTTAGAATATTAAGCACAGCACATAAAAGCAGCAAAAAAACTATACAAATTAAGCAGTCAAACAAAATAAAAAAACAAAACAATGTTACTCCTTATTGAAACAGTTTTATTGATGAGTCATATCTGATGATCAGATTGATTACCAACGAATTGGCTCAAATTCTTTAACTTGATTTATAACATTCTAAACTACCTATCAGGATTACAAACGTTTTAAAGGAAACAATAAACAATGTATGAAATCGCTAAAAAGTATCAGCATTTCGTGCATGTTTTAGAACTAAACGCTATATAATTGACCATCGAGGTGACCTTAGAAGACTGTTGATGGTCAAATGACTCGAAATACAAAATGTATAGACCGACAAGTATTTGCGATACGAAAAGGACGATTTTTCTAGGACTTTTTATACGACCGCAAAAATTTTGCGGTCGATTAATGTTAATATGACGTTGTCAGCGTCGTCGGCGGCGTCGTCGTCGTCGTCCGAAGACATTTGGTTTCCAAACAATAACTTGAGTATGAGTGTATGAATCTCTTTAAACGTGTACCATAAGGTTCCATACCACAAAAGGAAGATTTGGATCGATTTTGGGGGTTACATCCCAAACCGTTTAGCAATTAGGGGCCAAGAAGGGGTAAAAAAAACTATGATTTTCTGGTTTCCAGACAATATCTTGAGTATAAGTCTATGGATCTCTATGAAATTGTACCACAAGGTTCTATACCAAAAAAAAGGAAGATTGGGGTTGATTTTGGGGGTTATGGCTCTAACCGTGAGGGAAAATGGGGCCAAAAACAATACTTTTCTAATACTTTGTATGAATTGCTTATTTCTTGACCAATTTCAATGGAGTTTAGTCCAAAGTCTTGAATTCTTGGGGTTCTTTAATATGCTAAATCTAACCGTGTATTTAGGTTTTGGATTTTGGGCCCGGTTTTTAAATTGGTTCACATTGAGATCCAAAGGGTCCAAAATTAAACTTAGTTTGATATTAACAAAAATCGAATTCAAAGGGTTCTTTGATATGCTGAATTCCAAATACCGTTTCGATTCCTAACATCAATGAAGAGGCATTAATTGTCGAAATCCGGATATGGTGTACTAATTTTTGCACCTTTTGTTTGCGGTATACCATCTTTTCCGCAAGTTTTTCCGCAAGTTTATTGTTTTCTGTTTGGTATTAAATTAATAGTTAAGATCCATTTTGTTACATCTGGTGATCCGTTTATTTGGTTGATTGATTGGTTTTTGGTGTTTTAACGCCACTTTTAAGCACCGCGTTTGGGCTATTTCGTGGCGGCCAGTTTTTATTGGTGGAGGAAGCCGGAGTGCCCGGAGAAAACCACCGACCTTCGATAGCCGTTTATTTGGCAATCGCCAATGGCAGTCAGAAAGGGTTTAAAAACATCCGTTGTTCGACCTGCTAGTCATATGCATTTTGTTAAAATATACTTTTTCACTTTTTTGGTCTTTTGGAAAATGTTGTTTGTGTTGTATTTAGACCCCTCTACCAAGAAATTTATTTTGCTTGCACACGTATAAAAATTGCGGTTTTTATCCAACGCAATCATAGGTTTGAACGTTGTTTTCAATTTAGACTTGTTTATATATATATATTTTAATAACAGCCCAACAATGTTAGATCTGTAAATTTGCGTTAGCAAAATATTTTTGTTCTTTCCTGACCGGGATTCGAAATCATGCTACTGAGATATCGTGGCACTAAATCGCCTTGCACTGTGCCCGACGCGCTAGACCACTCGACCACCTAGGCTTTACAAATAATAAAGCTTTCGGTGGCCGGGTGTTACCTTTCCCCGTCAGTTTTAATCTAGCGTCGTAAAAATAGATACAGCATAAATTTTATTTTAGAGACGAAATTATGTATAAAGATAGTTTTAAATTTACTGTTCATTATTAGATATTTTGAAAAATAATTAAAGGTTAGTTTTATAGATGTTTTAAAGACATTGTATTAATGATGAATAATATTTTGGAAATTGTTTTTTCGTTTTCTTGGTACATTTTTTGAAGAACTTCGTGGTAGGTTTGTTTATTATTCTGTATAAATTAATTTTCAGATGCTATATATATGTATATATTTTTTTTTTGATGAAACGAACCCCTTTTAAAACTTAGCTACTATTATCTATTTATGAATAAATAGATTGATGGTGTACTTGGATATGCTGAATCGAACCGTGTATTTAGATTTTGGATATTGGGCCATAAGTCTAATTTCAATGTTTTCAGTTCTTTGACCACTTTCATTCTGTGTCAGAAACCTATACTGTGTCAAATATTTAATCACAATCCAAATTCAGAGCTGTATTAAGCTTAAATGTAGTGTCCATATTTGCCCCAACTGTTCAAGGTTCGACCTCTGTGGTCGTATCAAGCTGCTGTCAGCGGAACATTTTATTTATGCCATGTCATAAATTAAAAACAAATTTAATCGTTTAACCTCAACTGTATGGGAATGATTTTTGTGGGCCTAATCAATCAACGAAATTGTTCTTCCTTGTGTGCTCTTTTTTCAATTTAGGCATTCTAATAGGAGTTGCATGCATACGGACCAAAACGAGGTCGAGACAATAATATATCCGATGTTTCTGATTTTATTTTCACAAAATTGAAAAACACTTTCAACTAATAGCAAGTTATAATTTTTATTTACCGCTTTTATTTACGTTTGAAACAAACAAAATGTTAAATGTCTCTTATCTAATCATAAGACATCACCTAATTCATAAACCATCGGTCCATGTAAATTCTGTAAACAAATATATACAACTTAAATGAATGTGAAAGTTTGAAATAAAAAGACAAGTTAAAGCACAAAAAACAACACTGAAAACACAAACCTCTTTTTGTCGAGCAAAGCGAACATGCAATTAGTCGTCGGCGTCGACGGCGTCAACATTTAAGTTCAGTTTGTGGTTAATATGTAACTTTGTCAATGGAATTTGATGAAACTTGGACAAAGGCTTTTTATGATCAAACGACAGTGTCCAGTGCAAAATGTTGAAAATATTTTTTTCCTATTTTTTTCTTATTTTACTGATAAATGGATTTATTTTTTGCAGTTAATATGAAGAAACAGTCTAAAGTTAAAGTTTTTCAGACATCAATAACTTTGCCAAACAATAGTGGAATTTTACGAAACATTTTGTATGATCAAGATATAGTATGCAAGGCAAAAGTTTGAAAACGTTTTTCTATTTTACTGATAAATGAATTTAGGTGTTTTGCAGTTAACATTAATATATACTATGGGTTAAATGTTTGCAAACCTCATTGGAATTTTATCAAACGTTGGCAAAATTGTTTTTTATGAGAGATATTGTCAGAACCTAAATTTTGAAAATATATGTTTATCATTTTCCTGTATTTTACTGATAGATGGGCTTTCGAAACTTTCAAGGAATGCTCTGAAATTTGAAGAAAAGAAGTTAGATTATTTTATTATTTTTTCGTATATTTACTAATAACTGGACTAAGTCTTTGACAGTCAGCATTACATTTACTCAGCAGCAATAGCAGGCAAGACCAAGGGCTGTGTGGAACCCTTTACGAGTTTTAATCAACACTATGATAGTACTGCAGATAATCAAGAAGGCTACACAGTTCTACTGAAATAAAAAAAAAAACTAAAATACATAAACAATGAGGTGGTGCACTGGGTCCATATTTACAAAGATGTTCTTTCTTTTTAAGAGTAAAAGACATGAAGTATGTAGTGACATATATTTCATGTGTTAACAGTATTCATAAAATCAAAATGCCTTTGGGTGTAACAAACACATTGTTGTTGAAACTAATTTTGATATATTATTGATATCATATTGCAAAAATTGCATTCCACATGATATCCTGCAAAAACCACATATGTGAAACTGTATTCACTTCGAAACGAACCATCATACATATCAAATTTACGATATGGACAGAAGTACGGAAGAAATCAATATGTTAAGATTTCACTACGGTATTAAAATGGTAACCTTTAAGAATAAGTTTATTCAAATGATCAATGTATATACAATGATCGTATCTAAATTTACGGGCTTTATAAACAATATCACCGTAAAATTTAGGATGATATCCCGTTTTAATAAGAATTCTACAGGTCAAGCCAAATTTCGTAACCAAATCTTTGTATGTTGGGTATACTTGAATGAAACAGAGACCCAACAACAAAAATACGTCTAAAATGAAACATAGTTTTC